CCCCAAAACCCCAAAACCCCAAAACCCCAAAACCCCTAATATTTACTCTATAATTGATCAGAAAAATTAATTTGGCCGCTGAGAAGGAGGAAGAAACATACTGAAGTGGATGTGGGCAGCTTGATCTTCTTTCTTACGGTACATCTTCTGATGTCTCAGGCTTCGTTAGGGTAGAAGCTGGGGAGAAGATGTATTAACAACAAATCTGCTTAATAGCCTTGAGAGTTGTTTATCCTTTGCTCTATGTACTTTAGAGCTAAAGGATGGTGAGTTTGGTAACTCAAAAATTCCTCGAAGTGACCTTCGAGGGCGTTCTTGTTTTGGAAGCACATAGGCATATCATAGTTGAAAGGAATGTCCATGAAGGAAGCTACATACTGGATTGTTGGAGCCAAATCATGCAATTGGAATCCGAAGCTTAGGTAGATAAATTCGATGAATAATTGATTAAATTCTGATTCCATATCGAGAAAACCATTTGAAGAGTATGGAAATTCGTTTCAGATGTTTTTAAATATCATACTCTTCAGAATGAACACCGAGAATTAGGAACATGATTGATACAACAAGCCCTCTTGCCTGGTACATTAGGCAGTTGTAATCTAAAATAATAAGATCTATTATCTGCATGACCTCCCTGAACCTTGTGTATGAAGCTTGGTTGGAAGATTTGAAAGTAAGATCTGGACAGTTTTGAATAATAACATGTGACATTGCATATTCGTTTGTATTAACGAAAATATCCCATTGGTTCATGTACCAGTTTGCCCACATAGAATAAGTAGGAGGTGTCATATACCAGCCAAGCTCTTTAATCATCAATTTTTCCATTGCTACAATTTGCTCAACTTCGTATCCATTATCTGTGCTTTTTGCGAAGTCGGCAACTCTGGGCGAGTAGACCTCTTCAGTTTTGGCTGCAATAAACATTGAAGTAACTCCTATTAATTGGAGCTCTTCCTTCTTAACATGGTAATGGGCTGAAAGGAATCTGTCTACATAATTTACAGAGTAATAATAAGTCTCTCGTTTGAGCGTAAATTCGTTTCAGACTTCCATCATCCAGTCTAGGAGAATTGCTCTCATGATGCTAGAGATTTCAGGCTGACTGTTTTGGAAGTAAGAAGGATCTGGAGCATACACTCCCTCGATGGATATCAGATAATTCAAAAGCTTTGAAGCAGCCAGTGACCTCTGCTCTTCTAAGTCTGTCATAGGCAATTTTACAGTTTGTGTCTGATAATTTTCTTGCTGAGAAGTATCAATTTGATCATTAGTTCTGTACGATTTCATTAACTCTTTTGACTGGTGATAATTACTCTCTTCATCTTCCATACTGGCAGATTTATTCTTATCACTTGACTTGCTTTGGCTATGGAGGTCTTCATCAATAATTCCATCTCAGTCAATATGAGCGAACATGAAATCTGTTTCATTATCTTCTGGATTTTCCTCACCTTGGTTAAATCCGTAGTTAAAATCATACTGTTCTGCAATGGAGCTAATTCTTCTAGAAAATTCTTCATCCTCTTGGGCCTTATCGTCAAGTTTTGCTGGAGACTCTTCTTCCGGATTCATGGCTATGGAGATGAAAGGGTCCATGTTTTCGTCATTGCTTGAACAATTCTTCGGAGGAATTTTCTTGGTTCTGATTTCTGGCTGCTCTTTATTTATAATGATCTGATTATTTCTTAACTGTGAGCTGGTATCTTCTTCCTTGTGGTTGCTCATGTAACCAAAGTCAGGAATAGTGTCGTTAGCAATATTATTCTGATGGTTGTTTATGTGCTGGTGCTCTTTTGTAGCCTGAGGCCCTACAAAAGTTTGCTTACTTTTTGGAGGATGATTACCGACTTTTTCCTCCTCCAAGTTGTAAATTATGTGGTCTTCTTCGTATAAATTTTCGTCACACTCAAGACTTAGAAAGTTGTCATCATGTTGGGTACTGAAACCGTACTGGTGATGAGGATTATTTTGTTTAGAAGTCCTACGGCTAATAGACTCTGATTTCATTGTATTGCCTCTTAAATTCCGATCACGACTGCCTATCTTGATGCTCTTCTGATTAGGATTGGGTTGGATAAGTGTGTTGTTGTATCAATATTCAGGAGCTTCCTCGGCCTCATCTCCAATATTTCATTCTTCATCTTCATCATTCATAACATCAGTATTCAAAAATTGACGGTTATTTTGTTGGTAATTCAAATCGCTTCGGTCTCCGCCAGAGAGCTTTTCGATGTTAGTATGCGGCTTAGACATTTTATAAGGAATATTAGCACTTTGCTTCCTTTTATGCTTAGAATGGATATTGTTCGGGACCTCATAAACTTCATTCATGGGCTCTCTTCTTGAAGCTGCTCTTTCCGTTGCAATAGTACCCATTATTTCAGTTTCCATGTTAAAATTCGTAGAAATTCTAGATTTCTCTTGGGCCTGGAGGAGGTATTTATTGCTCTCAGATGTCTTTTCCCTACTATAGACTTCTTTTATCTGACCTGAGTGTGTCACATTGTCTTTATTCTCATCATTTATTTGGAGACTTTTAAATTTTTCGTTATAATCTTCAAAGGGCTGGGCATAATTATTATCGTATTTTGCACGCTTTTCGGTCGCTTCGGTGTTCTTAGGCTTTGTCCTAAGCCCACTTCTTGTATGGCGAATTGTAGCAGTTTTAGTCGATTTGCTACCTGAAGTGTTTCTGGGCTTGCCTAGATTGAATGTTAATGACATAAAAAATTATTAGGACTCCAAACCTTTGATTCAAGCTACTTACTCTTCTTCTTTCGAATCGTTGGTTTTATATATGAAGAAATCCGTGATTTCTTTGATTTGAAACTACCTTTGTTCATTTTAAATTATTTTTACCAGAAAATATATTCTTTCAAATTTTTAAATTTCTTAGGGGTTTTGGGGTTTTGGGGTTTTGGGGTTTTGGGG